GTGCGTGTGTGTGTGTGTGTGTGTGTGTGTGTGTGTGTGTGTGTGTGTGTGTGTGTGTGTGTGTGTGTGTGTGTGTGTGTGTGTGTGGACTATCAGTGTCTCCATGGTTTCCTCTGTGGACTCAGTGAGTTCACGCTCGGGTCTTGAACCAGCAGGTAAACACTGGAGAGCCTCTTCAAAGTTTCTGCTCCTTCCTCATCATATCAGTGATGTATGGCCTGTTACAATCACACTTTCAAGTGCCCTACTTTCTTTTTTAGAGTAAACTGTTGGTTTAAAGTTGAAGGACACACTCGTGACACAAAGGATGATGCCAGACATGTTTGTGATTCTTTCACAGAAAAGGCAGAAAACACTGCAGGAAACTCAACCACAAAAACTGAAATCCAGATAAATATCGCTAATAAGCTTTTTTTACAAAAAAAACCCAGCAGGAAATCTTAATTTATTCAGTCTATAATTGAAATACCCCCAAATATGGCAGATTAATTTAAATAGTAAACTTTTATTCAGCATTTGTGCGCTCAAACACACACACACACATGAATATGCACACAAACATGCATAAATTCACACACATACACACAGAGGGTGTGTGGGGGGGTGTTAGGGGTACAAACACAAACATGACTATATAAGGACACATTCACACACACAAATGCACACACTTGCATACAGAGATATGTACATGAAACATGCATACACACATGCTCAAACACATATGCATACACACATGCATACATCCAAATCCACACATACACAGACATGCATATATCTGCACACACACATATGTATGCAGACACACACACACACACACACACACACACACATAAAAACATGCATGCACGCATGCAAACGCATACAAAGATGCATACACACATGCGCAAATATGTACATGAAACATGCATACATGCATGCGCACAAACACATATGCCAACATAAACACACACACACACACAAATGCAAACATACAGATACATAAACACACACACTCACATGCACATGCTCAAACACACATATGCATACACTCACACATACTGTACATGTATACACAGACTTCACATATATACACACATGCATACATGCACAAACACAAACATGCATATATGCACACAGACATAAACACATGCATGCACAAATATGCACGACAGGCATGTGCGAGTGTGTGTGCTTACACACACTCCCATACACACATGCACAAACACCCATATGCATAAACTTGCATACATAAACGTATTTGCATGTGCATATGCATGTAAGTGTACGACGTATGCATGTACGCGTGTGTGTGTGTGCCTGTAAATGTTCTGGGTTTATGTGTGTGTGGCATATGCATATGAGTGTGTGTGTGCATAAACGGCATGCATCTAAGTGCATATGCATTTAATCGTGTGTGTGTGTGTGTGTGTATATATGTGTGTGTGTGTGTGTATATGCATATATGTATGTATGTGTGTGTAAGCTGATGTCTGCGCAGTGTTTTCCTTCTGTCAGTGTACTCTGCGGTGGCGTTGAGCCAGTGCGAAGCTGAACCCGGCGCTGCTGTAAGATGAATGCCTGAGCTTTTCCAAACTAATTAGCGAGACTAATGGAGCGTTCGCTCTTATCTGCTGCTCTCTGGACGCTCCTGCAGTGTGTTTCTCCCTCAGATCAGGGACGTCCAGTTACGGCTGAAGCGTTTGACAGGACGAGATGCTTCTCTTAGCCTTCATGAGCATTTTAATGAGCACCTGTGATGCTTTTACACTCTCCTGTAGTCCATGCTGTTGCTGTTTGAGCATGAAAAAGGATCTGCAAGGTTATTACAGTTTTCTTTTCAGTCGCTAACAAGCGTTGGTCCAACAATGAACACACCATCGGTCTTCACCGTTTCCACCCAATATGCAGTCAGTGAACACATTTCCACAATGCAAATCAAATCAAATCACTGTTATTGTCACGTCATCATCAGCAGCACGCGTGCTATGATGAGTGAAAAGCTTAGGTGCTGGCTCCAGTACAAAATACATTTTAAAATACAACAGCATACTCCCAAAAAACAGGACAATGTGAAATTGCCAGCGATATGTACAATGAATAGGTGTCCACATAGTTGTAGGCAGTATTGTTTCAAGTATGGATTGGTTAAAGTGTAGTGCATGCTAGATATTGATGGTGTGCAGTGAGGGGTGTGGAAAAGTCTGTGTGTGGTGTGTTGAGTGTTCATCAGCCTGATAGTCTGAGGGGAGAAGCTTTCCTTCTGTCGGCTGGTGCGTGACCGGATGCTGCGGAACCGTCTGCCTGAGGGTAGCAGAGAGAAATCTCTGGCTTGGGTGGCTGGAGTCGCTGATAATTCTCTTGGCTTTCCTCATGCACTGCATGGTGTAGATGTCCTGGAGGGAGGGAAGCTCACCTCCTACTACGCGTCCAGCAGTTCGCACAATCCCATGTAGGCCTTTGCGATTGCTGCTGGTGCTGTTTCCATACCAGGTGGTGATGCAGCCAGACAGGGTGCGCTCCACAGTGCAGGTGTAGAACGAGCGGAGGATGCTTAGATTTTCTTAACAGATGAGCTGTACCTCCCAACAAAATCATGGATTGTTTTTGTATTATTTATTAATGTTACAGGGGCGACGCAGTGGCGCAGTAGGTAGTGCTGTCGCCTCACAGCAAGAAGGATCTCGCTGGGTCGCTGGTTCGATCCTCGGCTCAGTTGGCGTTTCTGTGAGGAGTTTGCATGTTCTCCCAGCGTTCGCGTGGGTTTCGTTTTTTGCTATTTCTGCAGAGAAATTTGGTAAAAATCTGCAGATTTATGCAGAATTATTTCAGGAGTATCATAACTAAAACCTTAATATGTGAAATCCAAGTAGATTCACTTTATTTGGTAAACAAAGCAAGTCTCTCATTTAATATCTCTGCTAAAAGACAGAAATATTACTTTACAAACTGCATTGCACATAAATCTGATGAACATTTTCACATTAGTCAATAATATTATTATGATTAATTTACTCAAGTATATAAACAGAATCAATGATAAGCTAAAAATCTGTGGAATTCTGTGCGCGCAGACTCCGTGTGGGCCTAGCGTTCGCCCAGGGCGGCATCTTGCTGGGGGTGGCACAGGGAGAAAAAAAACATGCCCCAGTAAAAATCATCAGAGCCCCAGTAAGCCTTGAGAAATACAATTTACTTTATGCAAATGTGTTAATTTAGAGTGCTAATACCAAAACAAAAGACATTAGGCGCT